AATAGTTTATTTGAATAGACTATATTTATAGTTATATGCAATAAATATTTTATGATTTATTCGTGTCGGAAACGAAAGACGAAGAAGATGATTATGAAATATTTATTGTATATAACTATTATGCAACTGTGTATAGTCTCTCGTTAATGTTTGCTACATCTTCCCTCGATATTGTTCGCGGAATGATCCCCATAAACTGAAACTGCGTCGACGTGGTGAGTGTTACAAGTCTGGTGATCAAATGTTCATGCATAGGACTAACCAAACATCTTCAAAAACATGAAAAACAAAATTCAAAATAGAGAAAAAGAAATACACGAAGACTGAAAGGATAGACTGATTATGAATTTGTTACTATCAAATTAGTCGTTGCTGTTTTAAAATTGAGCTACCATATAAGAATCATGCAATTTGTAAAAGAAATTTTAGATGTACTTTAATTGCTGAACGAGTTTAGAATCTTTAGAATAAACAAACGTTGAACATTTCTCTCTATTTCACTCACTGTCAGTCTCAGTGTACCATACTTTCGTCTAAAATGCAATCAAAATTAACAGTGATAAGAGTAGATAATTCCTGAAATAGTACATCTCCCTCGAACACTGTATACGTATATAAATTGTTCCTTAATACATTTTATCCGTATTTAATTCATTAGTGCATACGGTTGTATTCTGTGTTTAGTTATAAATCGCTTAAAATATGTTATTTAATTAACAACGCAAATTTTTATGAGCATGTTATTATTATTATATTTGATACTAGTCGATGTCGTATATTTCATACATCTCAGACATGGTTTGACAAAAAGTTAAATATTTTGAGTTTCAGCACCTCGAGGCACCTAAAATTCATCTCATTCTACAGATAATGAATCATCCAATATAATTCCGTATCGTAAAACATCCTCAATTGCATTTTGTAGCTCTACGTAAAGTTAAGGTACTCTAATACGATTCGAAAATATTTTCTGTAAGTACAAGACATTTAAAAAATGTTATAAAATAATTAAATATTTTTTGATTATATCTTAAAATACTTTACGAAAGATATGCGATATAAAACATAAGAATATCTTACAAATGGACTTTGAATCATTATAATGAATATATTACGGCTGCCACATATAACAAATCCATAGAATGGTGAATTTTGAACGGGTGTCACGATCGTTAGGCTCTATAAAATCAATTTGGGGATGCGTTTCTTGTCGTTCTAAACATTTTCCAATATCTTGCGATCGAAATTAAAAGATTCTGTGATTTTTGTCCAACTAGATTGGCGATTTGTCACACTGTGGCGTCGCTGCAATGACCACGATGCAGCTGCGGTAATCGCACGGTCAATCGATAGAACGTCGTCGTAACGTGGTGCTCTCGATGGAGCATCGCTTAATGTAAATTATCTACAAGTACGACCTACGCTCGTATGCCGAATACAGTCCTGTGCCTGGGGTCGGCAACCTACATCTCCCGAAAAAGTCAGATTCGCAAATCCTAAACGCAAAATCATGCCCAATTTGCCACGAAGGCGAAAAGAAAAGCTTGCTTCTTCGTTAACAAAAAATAGAAGGAGCTTTGGTATTGCGTATTCGTAACAACATCTCAGTCAATCGTGTACTGGTTCTTTTCGGGTTAAACCTTTGGGGGATGTTACTGTTTCAAACTACTAGAAAACGAATTTGTGATTTTTTGGGAAAAGAAAAGTGTCGTTGACGATCTTTAAAGTCATGTGGAGAGCCTCATAATTAAACAGAAAGTCACTAAAGCCCAATGGATAATTAATCAGCAAACATTGCGTGTTAAATATTTAAATTTTAAAGAAGCAATGGCAGTTTGAACAACATTTGTTGAAGTCAGGAACTCAGCATGTACTAGGACGTGTTATATTTCTGTAAAATTAAAAGCAAAAATATAAATTCTTCGGAATTTCATCCTAAAAGGTTTTCAAATCTGTGATTTCTGATAGATTTAACATTAATGAATTACAATTTAAACATCGTAAATCCTGCACCTTGAAAAAGAAATCAGTTCTGAGACTACAAATTTTAGAAATCAAACTCATTTACCTAAACTACAAAAAACCAGCAGACAACAAAATATTAATGTCTGTCATAAGTGAATTTAGATTACAAGCAATTTGAAGTTTTTCACGTGAAACTTTGGATCGAAACTTTCGTGCAAAGATTGTGACTAATAGTTTCACAGAAAATACTTTCTTGAATTTATATAAACTTGGTACTTTATGCAAAAAAAGTATCGATGTTTGGAAATAATTGTGCAACTGTCCCCAAACAATAAAGTATACAATGAGCAAAGAACCTAACCAAATGATGATACTTTAAATGCTGCATCTAGCTTCGTTCAACTAGTCACCTATAATTCAGAGATTTTTGCTCAACAAACAGCGTCAAACCTCGTACAAATTGATACGAACTATGACTTCGTGACGTGATGTTGCTTAAATGAAATAAACATCGTTAATAGTTCATTACGTTTTATTATTACTATCTTCATTTATAAACTATGAATTCCGACATGGCCGTTGGCCGCTGTTTGAAAGAAGGTTGCAGACCCCTGGTCTACGCGGTACGCTGTGCCATCACTATTTACATGATTCTCTACGGATACGGTTTATTTACAACTCGTCTCGGGTGCTGTAGAAAATTGGGCGATTTCGAGGCCAACTCGGTATGAAACGCAAGAGCAAACAACGAGGGAAGAATTTCAAGTAACATTGAAAACGATCGGAAAGATGTTTGTTACTTAAGCGTTGCTGAAACTTTTAGTTTGTAGAATTTCTGTTACAAGGAAATCCAGTGAAACCGTGTCCGAGTTTTTAAGTTACAACTATCCGATACGTTACTGTATTACTTCAAAGTATAAGAACGTCAATAAGTTCTTTGAAAAAATGTAAGTTGAGTCGACATAGGTGTAGTTTGTTAAACTTATTTATAGATCAAATAAACTTGCTACTTGAGCAACAAAGTAACTGGAATCGATACTATTGCCATTAACATTCACGACTTTCAGGGCTAACTTCGTATCACAAGTGAGTCTTACAATGTCTTTTTCGATTCTTCCTCGCAGTTCGCCCTCGCGAGTACCATTTAAGAAAACTTCTAACCATCGCTTATCATTGTTAATTCCATCGGTTCCAACGTAAACGATTTTTCACTATACACATGATAACATATCTTCTCTCCGCGCTACGAATTCACTCAGGCTGTTCCCTCAATGTTCTTCTCTGAGCAGTGACGACGATGCATCATAACTAGAATTAGTATAGAAGCGTCCAAAGTGCTGTTTAGCAACTCTATCACATCTCTTACGTTCTACGAAGGCTCTAAAACTTAGAGGCTCCGACAGTCGCCATTCTAATCGCTACAGAGTAGGGATCGTAACCGTAACTCGAAACTGATTAAGTTTCTAACTCAAACAACTTTGGTTTGGATTATTCTTGCGTAACGATACGTGGTAACCTGAATAATCATAGTGCGGGTTACAGTAGCGAATTAAATCCTGAAATTGATCGATCATACTTGAATGCCGTAAAAGTTGTAAAACGATTATTCGCCGGTATAAAATTTATATTGGTATTCAGACGATATTACGATTATAAGAACAACCGAAACTAATTAATTATATGTACAAGGGAATGCATCGAATACCGTCCGTTTGAATATGCGTAGAACGAGTGAATGAATTCTTGTGAAACAAAGGAACTGTTAGTATTTTTCATTTTTAATATTCAGTATTATTCTCGTCGCGAATAACTATTTACATTGAGGTCTGATAAATTTCACCCAGCTATCTATTATCGAGTGACCTTGAACTCGTAGGTCGTTGGAATCGTGTAAACACCCGCTATTTCATTAGGAATAGAAAAGTATAGCACGCCATTTAAAAAAATGAAGATGACCTTAAAATCTTCAAGATCCCCCCACCTGTAAAAAAATTGTTACTGTCACGTTACAGTCCTCCTCAAACCATACAACTTTCGTTGATGAAGTTTTACTGTATCTAAAAAAATAACGGAAATATTCGAGGCGATCAAAGTTATTGCCCCTGTATGAAGATTGAAATGATGCAACCTGTAAGTGTCACACTTTTTCCAAACAAGTTGTTTGTACTATCCTTCCACAAGAAGAAGGCACAGCGTGTTTCCATCCCCACTCCTGCTGCAGTCCGCTGACTCTCTCATCGTCACAGTCATTGGCCGAAGATGGTGACAAAGATCGACAATCGTTATATCGAGACCAAATGAGACAAAATATTTACTAATTGATAGCAGTATTGGCGAGTATTCTCTCTCACTCATAATCAGTCGCAAATTGTCATTGATCAATCGTTATATCGACAATCGTTATATCGAGACCAAATGAGACAAAATATTTACTAATTGGTAGCAGTATTGGAGAGTAGTCTCTCTCACTCACAATCAGTCGCTGTCACTGATCTTCGTCATCGTTTTCGATCAATGGCTGTGATAGTAGGGGAGTCAGCGGATTGCAATAGGAGCGGGAATGTAAACACGCTGTGCCTTCTTTTCGTGGAAGAATAATATGCAATTGTGTTACAGATACTGTGCGTCCTCGAGAATTTGCTTAGCGAGAATGCACAGGATCGAGGGAGTACTTTGTTTGCTCCACTCATTCCCACTTTCGTCATTTCGACCAATAGTGCCAAACTCTAAACGAGAGTGGGGATCCAGGCACCAATGAGATCCGCATTCCTTTCACTAGCCAATTTCTCGCGGACGCAGAATACATACAACGCCACACATAATCTGCTGTGAGCGATCAAAGTTGCATTTCATACTATTTAGAAATGTTCACGGTTATCATAAGTTAACCCAGATTAGACGTTACGATCCCTGCTCCAGAGTGAAAACCATGCAAGCCATTCGTCGACCACAACGATAAACACCATTACCATTCTAAAATGATCGCTATGTTCTTCAACTCGCGTTAAGTTCACAGTTCGAATCGGCAGCGTTCACTACCTGCCAGAAGAGCTGAGCCCACCCCGATGAGACGGCACCGTGAAAGCCCTCAAGCCAACGCCAACCCCGATCCCAACGCCGCTGCTCAGCGGACCTTGCACCTGCCCGCTCAGATTGATGGACGAGTTCACCAGTCCGAGTGCATCGCCAAGGACCGAGGAGGACGCGCCGGAAGCTTGACTGTCGCCAGCAGGCCTGATCCTCGGTGACCTGGCGCACTTCTCCAAGTGATGGTGATGAGACCTGACCGCTAGCCGGCTGACGTGCACCGGAATCGGGACCACGATTCTAGTTCCATTGCCCGAGTGCGGACCAGCCGATCCATTGTGCCTGTTAGAGACTCCAGCGGTCGCCATGCTGGTCGCTCCGGAGCCAATGCCGCCGCCGCTCAAGCCAGCCTTCACTCTCTTCCACTTTGCACGACGATTCTGGAACCAAATCTTCACCTGGACCTCCGATAGCTTCAGAGCGTGCGCGATATGGGACCTCTCGGTGAGGCTAAGATACTTCTTCGCGTGGAATTCTCGTTCCAGCTCCAGCAGCTGCTCTGACGTGAAGGCGGTTCGTCTGCGTCTGGCTTTGTTGTTGCTGGACCCGGTCGCCGAGCTGCTCTGCCCGTTCTCCAACGAACCGCCAGGACTCACGTTGCTGGAAGCGTTGCTGGACATCGCGTCGGCTGCGTCGTGGCCATCGCCAGCGACGCTCAGGCCTCCACTCTCGTCCTCGCTCTCTGCCGAGACACGACCGTTCTCCGATCCTGAAACAAGCGAACGATTCCAAAGTATAATTAACTGAGCCGAATCTAGGTGACGTTACATCTGAGTGCATTATTTTTGGTTAACACGGTCCCTGCTAAGTCTGCTTTTGACTTGCAGCGGTTGTTATTAGGAAAAGTAAAGGAGAGGGTCATGTCCTGGGCCTGTTAGTGGGACTCATCGTTAAGGCAATCCCTGCACGTCCTCCTTTAGACATTAATATGGTTTTATGCTACTCTGTCGCGATAACTTTATAACTGTCGACTCAGCTAATAATGACAATGCATGTAAGGACAGACGCCGCCATTATACTACGTCCAATCAGCTGCCTAGTTCTTCGACCTACCATTAAGGGGCATTACTGTCTAGACTGTCACTTTTTCGGTCTTCTTTGTGATTTTTTTGTAATAATAGGTAGGCTGTTTTGCATTAAGATTTTGCAGATATATTTATTCATCTTATAAGTATGTATAGTATTTTTTTCATCAAAAATTGTGTAAATTTACATTGTAAATGCGTTTTTTAAAACTGGTTTCCATGAAATTTCAAGATCTAGTGGATCAATTGACTTCAACTTTGAAGCGAATATTCAGCAGACACGCCTTTATCGCTGAAACGAAAGATTTAAAAAAATATTGAGTTTTACTATTTTTTTTAATATGCTAAAGACAAAAGATAGGTTAAAAAATAGAAATTCACAAATGCAGAAACTATCGCCGTAGACTAATTGTAAATGTCATTTTTACACCACGTGTACCGAAAACGGTATACACTTAAGGTTCAATAAATCTTGAAAATTTACCTATGTTTTTCTGTTTGTGTACTGAAAATTTATTTGATTATCGCTTTATCTCTTAATGAATACCGAAAACAGTGAACCACATGTGGTACACGCGGTCTAAATTAAAAATTTAACGTATGCCATGGGTAGTACATATGGCATTGAACATGTTAATCGAAGATTATAACTATTTAAACGGAACAACAATTTTATAAATATATTTAACAATATTTTAAGAAAATATTAATATACTAAAATGGTCAGTACAGTCTATCGACCTATTAAGTTTCTTGGAATTTTTTACTATTTTAAACATTTCAAGACAAAAATTGGAAAATCAAATAATTATTTCTCTAAACCCTGTTATTGGTAATTACACAACAGACCAAACACAAATTGTTTAGTTTTCAAGAAACTGATTACAATAAATGTATATTGTACATGTTACATATTTGGTATCTTTTTTATTACTAAAATAAATTAATGTTATAAAATTATACGACACGTAATATTGTTTGCGTTTTAATTTTATTTATTTTTTGAGTTAAAATGTAGAAATAAATGATTATTATGGTACTTCTACTCGGCATTACTACATCCAAAAATTAATTTTCTCCATCTTGGTACTTTCTAATTAATATAATTATCGACCGAATGTGAAAAATAGTTTTTTCCAACACATTTCATTTCTTCTTAACCGTCCGATTACTGGGGCAGTTAACCTATTCGGAACATTAGGGGCGCGTCGCAACTGCTTGAAAATTTTCTACGTTCGATATATTCTATCGGAGTCGGTGCTGCGCTCTGAAAGTCGTTATGAACTTTTAATTTCATAAATCTAGCAGTGAAACGCTGCCCGCTTAGCCATTCCGTTTCAAGTGGCCATAGCTCCTTGCCTTTTATAAAGCACACTTTCGACTCATCCGTTACTCATGAATACGTTAACTGCCGCGTCATTAAGTCACTGAACGGTTACACCGCGGCTCGATGGAAACCGATTAACATCGGTATAGTTAAAGAAGAAAAAGATTTAATATGCGGGACATACGAGCCGTTTCGACCTGGAGCATAATGCTTCTGGATCGAAGTTTCGCTTTGTGCCTCTATTATTTTCCACGTGTGCCTTTCTTTCCCTTCCATTCTCGCTGGCCAGGTGGATGCCGCGCGGTTGCTTTAGACGATGCTGAATAAAGTAACATTATATTACAACTTTAGCCGCTTTCTGTTCATTTCAGTCATCGTCCGGACAGAATATTGGCGCTACTAGCAACGATTTATGAAACGATAATAGTAATCTGAAAAACTTGCTTACGAAACGGTCGCGTGAAAAGCTCAAAATCGATGGAAAACTGCAACTTACCCCTTTGTGTACGATATTGACAGAGCTATTTATAAAACAAAACAAAGAAAATATTGACCAACGTAGTCAAACGCGTCGAAGGAAAGACGACGATAAGCCAGACTCAACAAATATTGTACTCTGGAATCGTTTGAATAACATGTTCGGGAGATCACGATATCGAAAGGAAAGCGTGCGATTCGGTTAGACACGAACCAGACGCGAACAAGTCTAATAATGTCGGACGTGTAACCGTTACGCACTAGCATCTGTGATCAATTATAATCCTCGGACGCGGCGACACGTGTCGAATCTGTCACCTTGTAATCTCTGAAGACTCCGTCTGGTCTGCAACTATAATACATTCAAACTTCATTGACATTGGTTTTTCGCCTCAATTTTTCTGCAAATGATTTTATATATTTAAAAAAATGAATATAAAATATAATAGTTCGATTATTTTTTTTACGAAAAGACAATGTTTGTATCATATTTTGTTTATAGTTGTCTATTTCAATCCTCTGTAGAACAGTCTGAACTAAATTTAATGCAATGGAATAAGGATAAAGAATAGCTACAAAATTTCAAAAAAGTTTCAAAAAATGATATTGGATTTTTTCTTAATTGAAAAGTTTGAAACAAGATTCTAATAACATTTGTTCTCATCATCATCGAAAGAAAAAAAAGGCACAAAACTATTTACAATCTATTCGTGAACGATTCAAAGAACAAAGGAATGATCAAACTCGTGGTGTATTCTACTTCATAATAATTATTTAATTTTCTAGATCTTTCGCAATTGTTATCGAACGATGGATTACCGCAGATGTTGCGCGTACACTTTGCCCAGTCCGCGATATATCCACTGTTTAATTCACAGTTATCGCAACTGCAATTTGGAACCACGCAAATGTTGCCACATCGACGGCTACCCACCCGTGACTTCCCGAGTTTATAGCTTCCCTCTTTTATTCATTTTCGTGTTTACGATTCTTCCGGGTCTTTGACTAAGCGGTACGTAGAGTTCTAAGGTGAACCAGCTGCGTAGGAGTTTGATGCACCCGCTTCTTTATTAATTCAGAGAGTTTCGATTGAATGGGCCATACGCTTCCGCGAGCGAGACGAACTCGCGACGTTCTCGAGAGTCCCTCGGACAAACGTTCGGGCGTTGTCCCCTCGTAGTCTTTACACTTTATGCAGAAATCGAGTTGATCGATCCGCTTGAATAGTATTATTACATTTCTATTCGCTTTCTCCGCTATTAAGGACGTGGTCGAATAGAGTAATCGACAACCCGAACATTTATCCAAAGCTCACGAATTATTAAAGATACTTTTAAGCCTTTCCACTACCAAGTACCCATTTAGATTGTCGGTCGAAAGTCTATAGGTGATTATTATTATTAAACTGTGTATGTTCATGCACGTGAGATATACAAAGAACTCCAATTTTTGTAACGTTTAAACAAAAAAATAGACAACTTGTTTTTAGTCTTTTGTATATTTACCAATAACAGTGTTTGAAATAATATAGTTATTCGATGACTAAAACAAATAGAAAACTCCACGTTTCGACCTATATTTTTAGAATTCCTTCGGGGATTGTTAACAAATCAAAGAAAATGGGCGAAAATATTATATGATGAACCATATGGTTGTTAAATTATAAAAGACTAGATTAAAGTAATGCAGATCATTTTACAAAAAACTAGAAAATGTTAAACATTAAACAATCCCTTCTTTCTAAAAGAAACAAGAGCGATTTTAATGAAATATAAGAAATGTGAATGGTCAGGAGATAAGTGACATTTAAGTAATAGTTTCTTTATGTAATATTTTACACACACATAAGTAATTTTTGTTTCAACCATTTTGCTGCTAAAAATTTAAAAATAACATAGACTAACAGTGTTTTATGTTACTGTAATACCTTGTTAGTCCTTACGAATAGTTATTTAAATCTTCCTGATCTCAGTTTTAATCCCCCAGACAGAACGTGATCTTTAATTTCTAACTCTTTGCGGTTCTATGTCAACCTAGACTCAACATCATATTTAATTCCAACCCCTTCGACATAGAATCTTGTAACTACTTTTATATCTGTCTTCTCTTAATATCCTGACTCTGTGCAAATCATCTGATAATTATTTCATCACTATTTGTGCTACTGTAGAACCTCGATTATCCAAACCCCCATTAATCGAACGGTATAGCCTAAGAAGTAAGGATAATCTCGTTAAGAATTATGTTTGCTTTTCTGTTGTGCTTCTTCGCCAGTCTACAGAAGTACAGATAAAAATATTACAATTGAATGGTTACATACCGATGAGGTAAATTACATGAGTGATAATATAGTTATGGAACTAGTCAATGAATGGAACAAATGTAATGAAAATGAAAACAATGCAGAAGAAGAAGAGAAGAGAAATATTTAAAATATTTTATAACGTTAACAAAAATCACTGAAATAACAGCTGAAATATATTAGAATACTAGAATCAATATTGAATAAAATTGTTTTTGAATAAAATCATATATATATATAATTACAATAAATGGTCTTCTTTCATAATGACTGCGTCATGTTTTGGTTTGAGTGATCAAGATTTAACTATATAATATATGGTATAGTCAGAATTTTAACTAAAACTTGAATATAATTATTCTATATTTACAAGAAACATATAAAGATTGTGTTCACCAACCGAAATATGCAAGATCTACTGAAATGAAATTTTTACATAAGATATTGAAAAAATACTGTGTTATTTTATTAAACAATATTGTCTCAGTGATCTTCTGGAAACTGACGTAAAGTGCTGTAGCAAGAGAATTTAATTTACCATGAATTTCATAAGATTCTATTATCTACTACTAGAGATA